GACGCGGAACAAAGTCTCCTTAGACTTTATCTTTCCTTCGAATGACCCGTACGAGCCGGCTACGTAGCCTTCCGAGTGAGTTCGCGAAGATAAATTGGCCGGAATTGTTAGGTGCTTTTTAAAAGTCCGAACGAACGAGCCAAAGAAGAGGACAACGGGGCTAAACAAACTGTCCACCATTTTTACGCGCCGTTTCGACTCGTTTACGTTTCCAACTATTTTCAAACCTTTGCTAGTTCGCGATCCGTCTTTCTACAAAAAATACGGGACTGAGCTTCTTCAACCAGTGAACAATTTTCACACAGTTGTTCATTTTTTATTAGGTCTTGCAAAATAAAATAACCTGATACGAATTGGTCTGTATTAAAGTACTATCATTAAAAATCTGTGTATCTTGTCTTATCGATAATCTCGATAGGTACAATTAATAGGAATGCATTCCAAGAATGTTTCTCGATTATCACTTACAGTTAACGCGAAGTACTTGTGCACGCATCGCTCTGAGTTAATGCTAAAGTGATCGATAGGTGAAATGTGCAGACGTATCAATCAATATCGAGCCAACGAATAATGAATTGTGTGTTTTTACAAAATCCGTTCAGCATAATACTAGCTATCACCGAAATGATGATCAAAAGTTGAGCAAAGAAATTTGTCCCCAAAAACATTGAATATTCAACGAGATGTTCGAAGTCACTTCATTATTTAGTCCGTCACAGGATGACTATTTCAGTTGCACATTGTACAACGTTAATTGCAAATTTGTTTTCGGTGCATCTGGATATGGCGACGCTCTATTTGCTAGCCAAAGTTGATGTACGGGGAAGCAGCTATTTGCTCGTGCACATGAGGTTCAAGCTGCGGGAGGTCTAATTCTAATCCAAACATTTCCGTTCGATTGGCCTACGTAATGTCTCCTATTAACTGACAATTTGTCAATTAATGCAGTACTCTTCAAACAAGTGAGTAATTTAGATAGGTAAATCTTTATGGAAATAGTTTTGATATTGTTTTGAAAATATCGTTGTTACAAACGTCGATTAAAAAACGTTTAGGTTATTAATAAATGATCTACAACCAGAATTAAATTACCGATGCATGATCAGCCACTAGTGAATAGACCTTAATACAAATTGCGATAACGTTGGTCGATCAATAGTAAATACTAAATTACGTTACAAATTCAAACGCTGTGTTCGCTATCGTTATTTCACGCGAATTAACACGGCAACTTATTCATTAATAATTTGAAAACAACTCGTGCAATCGCGTTTGCGATAATGGCCCCCATGAATACAAGCGCAAGTATATACCCCGCGCCTGTTTGTTTATAGGAACGAATCAAATTATTTCGTCGTTATTAATTATTACTGCACGTGCATAATAATGGATCGAAAGCAACGGTATTATTAATAATAGTTTCGACGGAAGAGAAATATGCTGCATTCATTTTTACGATATTATTATATCTCTTCGGTCGAGAATGTCGCGAGCACTGCGACGAGCATTCCGATGGACGGAAAAGCGTAATTATTCGTAATATCTGCGCTGTTGACTATTAATATTCGTTCCGTGATTCCTGTAATCATAACCACATATTTTCTACGCACAAAAACAGGAAAATAACTATGTATCGATGAAACAATGCGAGATGAATCAAAACAAGAGTGTTACAGTGGAAATACATTCTGGACTTTTCCATTCTAATGTGTAAGAGACTGAAACACGTCATACTTTAAATAACTAGTATTATGTAGGTCTAAGTTACCAGCTACTGGTATTTTGAACATGTATATACTTGTGGTTCATTATCAATTTTTTAATATGCCCTGCTTTAATTTTCCAAACAAATAAGGGACACCTATCTAAAATGTTATTAAACGATATAAAATAGTCTATAATTGCCTATTACATTTAAAGAAACCAAATGTGAAAGTCCCTGCAGTAGAGAGTGCCTCGCAGGATGCGATATTAAATATTATACGCAACGCGACATTCGTTTCCTTCAATTTAGCCACGTCTAAAGGACCGATAGGTGCCCTTCGAGGGTCCAGCGAGCCGATTCGTGATCCGTCGTTAACAACTAATCTCGGTAATTTGCGTGGACACCGAGGGACCCGTACGGACACCGACGCGCTCACGTCATTCCATGTGATTTATACGACGCGTCCCGTTATAATGCTGGTCGACCATAATGCAATTCTAGGGGCTGGAAGCGCAGGAAGTGACATGAAGAGCGGCAACCACGTGGTAACCACTGTGCGCGGTTCGCCAATGACCTCTTACCGCCGCGGAGGCTAACGCCATTGCTGGTTCACCGGTTTAAACGCCAATAAACGAAATGTAGTACGTTTGCTGACGAAAAAAATACTGTTTCCATGTTATCTTCTTAAGTAAACAACGAAGAGATGGAAATTTTATTCGTCGATGAAAGAAAATATTACACAGTCAGTCCCATAACTATTTATCCACTATCTTTATTCAACAGATAGATTTTCCAAAGGGAAAAATTCGTTAGTAAGAAATTGTCAATGTATTATTTTTTTTTTAAGTGAGATTAAAACAGTCGAAAATAAATCATTCACTGTATTACACAGGGCGATGTAATAAACATAATAAACATGGGTGAATTTAAATAAGGGTAGCTAATAAATTCGACAGCTAATTAAGAAGAGCGTTTAATAAACCGGACACGGATTTTCTTTCGAACTGATCCAATTTGCCGGGGTCTAAAGCACGCTAAAAGAGGTTGAAAAAGTGGATGAATTACCCAGGGTCCACGGGAAGGGCTCGAGGTCTTGGAACGAGGAAGATAATCGGCGACAGTCGAGGGTTATCCAGAAAGTTACAAGGACCGGAGAGTCGAGTTTACTCGATTTGGCAAGTTCGGTATTCACTCGAGTTGGACCCACCGAACCTCTTAAATCCCCCTTTCCCTCATTTCCCGTTACAATCTACGGGGGTAAAGTATGTACCATCTTCGTTGAATTTCAAACGATCCTGCAAATCGAATGAAGCCCGCCATGAATCTTTTCGTTCGAGTAGCGAGAGGGTGGTTGTCGAGCGTCGTGAAAAGGGAGGGTTGGCTTGGCGTTTGAATGATCCGAACATAACGGAGGCCATTTAAGGCGGTGAACTGAGACGACGGGGAATAAATAACTCAAAAATAGAGGAGAAAGTGAACGGTTTGGAAGGCATCATTTTTTTTGTTCAAGGGAAAAAGCAAACTGGATTGAAATGGAAATTGGCACAAATAGAGGATTCCCTTTGATATAGTTTAACGAGATATTTGTTGTCTCCTCGATCGATGTTTTAGTTTCTGTTTTCATTCGTTTGAAACAGGAATAACAAGAATAAATTCGAGCTCGATACGGGTGCATGATTTGAAACGAACCCCGTCGGATCGAGGCACAAAGAACAGAGAGATTATTGATTTAAAATAGCTTTTTGTGCTGCCAACCACAATGTAGCAAAAAATTTGAAAATAATATTGATTACTTTATCTGAAATTATTTTCGCAGTACTGAATTATTTTGCATGGACGAATACTTTCTATGAATATTGTTTAACAGTGGACTGCATATAGAACTCGTGTCATAAATAAATGAAGGGTTACATTCAATTTTCAATTTGCAGTCACGAAATATGTAAAATCTACTAACACGAATAATCGTCTGCTTTTGTTCCTATGCCGTTTTTCACGTTAGCAACTTTGTCTTTGTCGCGGTTTTCAGCCACAGTGTGATAAATGTAAATTTCCGTTTTGTTGCATTCCCTTGACCGCGCAATTCTATTCTACCGCTTGCATACTCTGCAAAATTAATTTTGCAAATCCCAGCCAAACGTTCTACACCCTCGCGCAAACTGCGGGAAATTCGCTTACGTTTTTCTCTGCATATCTTCCCGAAGTTTACAGGATTCTTATTTATTCTTAATATAAATGTTCAGATGTTCTCTGATAAAATTCTTGAAAAAACGTCGTGGGAAGTTACTACCATTAATAATTGTAATTTTTTAAGAAACACAGAGAAGTGAAGAAATTAATTGACCTTGCACTCAATTACTGAACAGTTTATTTGTAAGTGTTCTTAATATTGAAATTCTTAATATGTAAAGCAATGAAATAATTCATTTCGGAATCAATTAAACCGTAGATTGTACAATTTGAAGCGACACTCGGTGTACGTCGAGGGGGTTTGACGTGCCAGAGCAACAATCGTGACAGTTTGAAGATCAATAACTCATTAGGGAAGAGCATAGCATACGAAGTCGTTTGTCTGCGGCTTAAAACGCTACGCATGGCGATCATTAACGCTAATGTCTCGAGTGCAAATAATTATCCGGCGCGTCTTCTTGCACGTGAACGCGCAATTCGCAAGACGATGCCTCGGCTACGCGGAAACTCTAATTATGCCCCAGTAAACTCAAAGCGACGGCGGCGTATAGAAGCGATCGCCGAGATCTCGAATCAATTAAAGCCCTTAATGATCGCTCGAGCTTCTTGCAACGGGGATCCAATGATCGCTCTAATGCCGCGGATACATCAATTTGTCTGAAACGAATAAATTCGCTGTATCGAACAAGAGATCTGCCACTGGAGTATAATGCGACCCGCGATAATAATCGATTCGATGCGACCGCCGCGATAATGTCTCTGCGCGGAGAGTGATCATCGAAATTACAACAACAGAGGCGGGTATCGGGGAGCTTTTTGTTGGAATCTTATCGATTATTCGTCGAGAGCTCTATATATGTAATTCTCTGATTTCTTATTAATCACGGGATGTGTATGTATGTGTAAATTGTATTCAAAATTAAAGATATTAGTATGGAAACGTTTATATGAAAAGAAAGTATGACGGTTCGAGCCACGATTAGTTGTATCGCATTTTAAATGTCTATTATGACTTTAAAAAAGAAAAATATGGAGCGAAGGTCGTTATCGACCGTTAAGGGGGTTTTAATTCAGACAAGAGAGACGTTGACGTCTGTCTACTTACGTGTCTCGTGTCAGCCGCAAGAAGGGGCGTGTGTGCCTGCAACAATGAGTGCCCAGAAAATTAGAACTGGAGTAGAACCCTGACGGGGGTATTCTTTTTTGCTTTCTAGGGAGCTTCATGCTTCAGCAAAGACTCCGCGCGCGCTCGACGCGTCCTCGAAGATACAAATTCCTCGGGAGTAATCATGCTGTCATGCGATGACATGCGTCGAAAGGGAACCATGCAGAGGCGCAAAGAACTACCACGGGGGTCAGCAATCCGATCGAACGCAGGCTCTTCTATGCACTTCTCCTTCAAATGGTACGAAACAAGATGTAACGTCACAGGAGCATTCCCTTCCGCGATCTCGAACTTGCTACAAAAGCCGAGAAACGCGATGTAATAAATTTTACACCATTCTGAATTGAATAGATGTCACGTAAACTCTTTGCCAGTGCCACGATCTGGTCAGAGAGGGTAAAATATGGCGTAAAGATATTTTCAAATACAATTTGGTATCAATTTTTTCAATTTTTCTTTTCCCACTTCCCAGATACACCCTCAGTCCCATAAATATTCGTACCTTCTATGTCTATATTTCTACCAAAGTTTCAGTTTGTTTCTAATTTTCAAACTGCCAAACTTGCCCTCGCATTAATTGAATCTCGGTCGATTGGAGCCACGATATTAATTTTACAATCTGCAGATAGTTTTCGACAGTGTGTCTGGCGCGCTTCCCTCTCGCATCAATCAAATCAATCTGGATTTCAACCTAATGACATTCCGCCCGACGAGGAGGACGGAAGTTTAAAGAGGATTCTTGGGCGCGCCTCGTCGCGATGGAATAAAATTAATCACGATAGTTCGGAAAGAAGCGAAACGCGCTCCTTGGTCTCCAGAGGGCCGCGCGATCTCGAAACGATTTCTCTCATGGTAAGTTTTCTGGACGAGGAACACGCCTACGGTCCCCGTGGACCGCGACAGGAAAAAAAATGAGAGAGTTCTACGGTTTTCACACGGAATGCCAAACCGTTCGCGAGAAATGATTTTCCTGTCGCGAGTTTACGCGGCGCCGAGCTTCCAGACGAAAAAGAAGGTTTCAAAGATTCCTGGTAAGGAAATCGTAGAATGCTAACTGGAGAAGTTTGCAGTCGGGGGTGTCGAAGTCCGTGTAACGCGAATGGAAAGCAACTTCTCAGGGTAAACCTCCAAATACTTTATGAAACTGCAGAAATATCGATTTTTTTTTTTTTTTTGAGACGCCCAAGGAACGCCATTAATATCCTTTAGTTTAAATACCTTTGTTATCTCGGCGACTGTGGCTCGGAACCATTCATTTTGGTATATTTCAGGAAAACAAAAAGACGATACACGCTTCAACCCCGTTATCAGTTGGCGTTCCCAACACACGCGACACCCTATACGCGCGCCTATTTTTCTCTTAATTAATGGGTCCCAGCAGTGTTCTGCTGATACAAGCTGCGTGCAGTTCCTGCTCGTTAACGAGAGATTAACCGAGCTTTGCGAGCGTAATCAATACGTATAAGAGAATAAGGCAAATTTTTTGACAGCTATATTGCCATGAGCACGTATCCTGAAGCCAGCGTTGGGCACATTTTATTTCCGAATAACGAATGCAAATTTTATACTCAATCGTAAATTAGAAAGTAGTTCTTCCACTATAGGAGCTAAAACGTAGGAAAAAATCATGAAATTTCCACTTTTCTAATCCTCGTGTGTCATTTCTTTTCAGCAAAATTTAACAAAATCAATGCCCCAGGGAAACAAATAAAATCAGAATAAAATTGATAATACATTGTTTTTCAAAATTCTCTTTATAATGTAAATTCAAATAAAAATTCAGAAAAGTTCTTCCTTTTTCAGGAAAGTTATTATAAATAAAAAGTTATGACTGTACAAAGTGATTTGACACGTAAATTTAAGATTTTTCAAACAGAGGAGTTAATCGATTTGTGCAGCAAACGACTCAAATATGAAACTCCCAATTACACAGTGACCTAATCGCCAATTTAATTAAATTGCCAGCGAGGAGTAACGAGAGTTTTTTTTATTCCGTTCCTGTAATACGTCGATCCATATCCGACTTCCTCTTTCGCCGCAGTCCCCAGTGGTTGTTTTGATGAATGAGCTCCCGCCTCGAATATTTCATCCCCTAACTCGGAAACGAGTGATCGTAACAATGAGGGGAATATTTCCGTCGCTGGGACGGGGCAAGATAAAACGAGTTTATGCGGCTCGTTATCACCGCGCGAGAAACGAAGGGAGAAGCCGCAAGTTGCGGCCACTCGACGGGGATGATCGAAATGAATCACCAACCCCTCATTTCCATCGGTTTTCCACTTGCAGCCCTGTTCCCGTCACTCTGTTTCTCCGCTGGGCCAATTCTAATCGAAATTTATTGAAACTTGAATCCTCCGCGATTCCTTTGGGTGCTATTGCTATTCCCATTCCGCGAAAGGAAAATTCATTGTGTATACGGTATCCTATTCGAACCTTGTATTATGAAAATATTTATGGAATTGGTCTGCAGCTCGTATAGGCGTTTATGCGTTTATGGACGATTTCGATGAAGAGAATTTAAGGGTAGCTGAGGAATGAATGAAATTGAGGATAAAATAAATTCGTGGATTACTGTTATTGGATAGAAAACAATAAGAATTGATTAACCCTCTCAGACCTGGCGTCCAGAATTGAAGACACAAAATTTTAAAAATACCTATTGCTTAAGGACGAATGTCATTTGTGCACATGAAGAAATATCAGTTTTCCTCGAAAACTACACTATTACAATTTTTTTTTCCCATACTAACTTTAGTCCAAGTTAACCCTAAAAGTTAAATTACATTATTACGAGAGAAAAGATCATTCAGATCTTAAAGGGTTAAAATAAACATATGCACGAGGTTTCGGTCTGAAAACATCCAATAGAAATGAAATAAAATTCCTGTTATAGAAAACCAGAAATGAGGATTGAATATCAAAGTGAACTTTCTCCCCTAATGAGTCTGCATAAACAGCTCCGCTCTCTTCAGCCATCCCTTTAAGATTATAAAACACGCATCGCTGCGCGCGTAACGACCATTCGACGGTGACGAGATTCACTTACTATTTCTCAATCCCATTCAGTCTTCGCCCGAAACAATGAAGCATCGTCTACGAGTGGCGCATCGCTCGTCGATTACGTATCACGTTCCCCCTTGATGATCTCGAGCTTTTCCACGGTGGCATCAAACGGCTGTATCCCGGAACTCGATCACGGCGATAAATAAGAAATAACAATAGGGCAAAGATAGCAGACAGGTAATTTCCTCCGTATTTCTTACTTTGTACGCCGAGAACAATGAGGAACGTCTTGCGGTGGGAGAAAAGGTGGCCTATCACACCCGTCACCCCCAACCTCCTCTTTTCTCATCTCGTTCGGGGATGAACGACGACAGGGAAGGCTTCTCCAATTCCACCGAGGAGTAATTTCTGAAAATAGACCAGGACGGCCAACGACGGCTCCAAGTGGCTGATCTTGAAAAGAATCGGAATGGTAGGCGGCGGGTTCATTCAACAAGTATATCTCGCGGGAGGGATGAAGACGATAATGCAGTTGCTTCACGATGGAATCCACGACGGTTTTGTTATTCATGGAGCCGTCAGACGATGTTAGAATTTAAGCGATCGCTGTAAAGTTCTCGTGGCGTTTAGGTGAACGGTTCCGATCGCGCGGAACGAGACACCAGACCGTGGGGCGTGCGAGTCGCGTCGATGGCTTTGTTATTGATTTCGGCAAAGGTTAGCCCAGGTGAACAAAGCATAGACGAATCCATGGCGTAGTGGAATAATTTATGCTATCGATTGTACTTTCGCAGAATTCGAAACCACTTTTGTTCAGTCAGAAAAAATTCATATCTATATTTTATCTGCGAATCTATATCTTCTCCACACAGCAATGAGTCAGATTCGTGTGGCTAATTCTTAATCTCGATAGTGTACAAGATATTTTTGAAAATACATGTCGAAACGAAAATACAAAAGCAACCACTTACCGAGAGCACTTCCGAGGGAATCTCGGCGCGGAAAGGCACGAAGAAGAATGCACCGTTGAACAGATACATTCTCCAGGGATAGAAAAGTCGATAACAGGGGTGTTTTACGGCGAAATCTCGTCGTTCTTGTTATTCATAGACCTGCCACGCGCAATATGAATTGACGCACTCGAACCACCATATAAGCACGTACGTGCGTGCATAGAGGAAATATGCAAAGGCACTCGCGCGCGTACGCGAATGAAACAGAATACACTCGAGTCATGTTGGCGTGAAACACGCGTTACTTCCCTCATATTCATGGCGAAATGTTCAAGCTTAAGCAAAACTAACTGCGTGCATAGAACAGGCAACAAATTAAACGGTGAAATTGCGTTTCAACGCGATAAAACGATTTCCATTGAAAAAAATATTGCGGACCGCTTATGCAGTTTAAACGCTGGACGATTAACAATTTGAAATTTATTGTTTGCGCTGTTGTTATAATACTTACAAAGATGTTTTCATTAACGTCCGTCGAAAAAAAAATTTTAATTCAAAATTGGAATTAACGTACATCTATTTTATATAATCAATGAACGAAAATGTAAAGCAAGTGGGTACAAGTCAGAATTTTGCAGGATGATAATATTATAATTTAAGATACATTTTTACGTTCTATCGACTCCTCGAACATCTATCGTATCTCTGTGCCGAAATTCGATTTACGAATTTTTCCCGCGAGGAAAGCCCGACGTTTCAACCAGGAAATACGATAGTTCATTTGCGGCCGAAGAATACAATGAAATAACAGCAGAACGAGTATTGGTAATGGTCTCATTACTCAAACACGATGGACTCGTCGATCTTTATTTTCTTTCGAAATTTTGGCGATGAAGAGGATCCATTTTTATATCCGTTCGTACATTATTATTCGTACAATACTCTCCCTCTAAGTTGTACAATGAAAGATCTTCTTTAAAACTGTTCCACGAGCTCAAAAAAGATAAAAGCCACCGATTC